TTAAACCAGCAACGACAGAAAACTGAACCAATTAACACAATGTCCGAAATTTTAATTGTTCATTGAGAAAATAACGCATGGCTGACATGATTGATTCAGATGTTGAAAACAACATTACAAAATATTGCCTATGAATAATTATGTGTTGAGGTACATGCTAAATGCTGGTTGAATCACACAATTATTCGATTTAATTGCATGTTGCACTTTCAATTATAATCATATAATCATGTTTTACTTAAAAACACCGATTCGGAAGATTTTTAAGACGATATGGTCGTACTTGATAAAAATCGATATGCAAAAATTGAGTCTTTATCAATCTTGAGATAACCTAGTTTTAAATGATAATCCCATGATTACAGATGAACATGATTTGATTTTTGACGACAATGGTATTTGATTTTGAATTGAAGGACACAATACTTATATTTTAAAGTATTAGAGAAAACAATGATGAGATAAACACGAAATAATGTGGCAAAACTACAAAGTTTATGAGTTTTACATTAAAAAAATTAATTCATCGCCATGAGAGTAATGTAAAGTAAAGACCGAATGCGATATCTTATAATAATCTTACACTGGCTGCCTGTACATACCGGAATACATGTATCAAGCTTGATGCTAACTGTTTACGGCGGTAACGAGGCTGTGCCGAGTTTCCGCTAAACAGTTTCACGAGAGCTAGATATTTCCGTCTGTACCGACAACCAGTATTTGATTCTTTTTTCTTGCATATAACATATCAATTATTTTCAGAACAGAAATTACGAAAACTGATATTCGTTCCTAACGTGTTATCTTGACTTCATCCAACGAGTATGAATTATACTCCTCATTATGGGTTTTGGGTTGATATTTTGTAGAAACTAAACAAAGGTGCTGCCTAACTTTATACTTTCATAAATATCAAGCATTCATTAAAGATCACAAAATGCGGTATTATTTATCTATGAGTGTAATAATATGATATTGATATATGTCATTTGTAGCGAATTGTAGAGTCATTTTATAAATAGGGAAAAAGAAGGAAATGTAAATGATCGTCATTGACCAGCGATAACATAAATACAACTTTAAAAAAATCCTGACATTTTGTCAGGAATAACGAGAGATACATAACAAATTTAATATTTGTAATGGGGTTGGAAATGCATAAAGCAAGGAAATAAATAAAGAATATGTCAATAAAGATAAAACAAGGGAAAGCAACATCCATGGCACGCTGTCACCAACCACAAAACAAATTAGTTAATTAATAAAAATCTAGCAGTATTTAAGAAATGTAAATCGCGGAATTTACTTTCATATGAAATAGTATCATCCGAAAGAGATCAACTCTCAATTAGAACAAAATGTCAGTGTAAACGGTTCAAACTTGAAGAGAGTTAGCCAAATAGACCAATACCTTAAGTAGCCCAGTGTGGGGACAACAATTAACATAAGAACTCAAGGTGAAGGGTACTTTGTAGGAAACTAAAAGTTTCCACTTCATTAACAGAAATTACAAGGAAAAATGAAAACTGATTATCATATTAATTCTTAAATGATTATATGAAGAAAATCAATGATAATAAATTGAACTAAAATGATTTTTTTCATGGCATTATTTCGCTTATCTACATGGCTCATTTTACTAATATCTGACATTATATTGTGTATAACAATCTTTTCCGTTTCCTGTAAATACATATGTAGTTTCCTAATGCACACAATTATTCTGCTTTTGAAGGATTTTTTCTAGCTCGCTAGAAGAAACAATATGGTGACCGATAAGTTATAACAATAAGAAGACCATGGACGCAGAAAGCAAACGTGTTTACTTTATATCCAATACTAACACATGTAAATTTTTCTAAAGCAACGAATTCTGGGGCTTGGAGAGAGGCTTGTCCTGTCTTCAACCTGTTTAAACTCTACACAGTCTCTGTCCTTTAAAATGTTTCACGTGTTTGTCTTGATTATTGTTACATTGTTTGTGTGTTGTATATACAATGTATGCCCTATCCAGTAAAGCGCTGTTAGCTGTTAATCCCCTCCCCCCGCACCTCATTTCCAATTTTGTGTCAAACCCGGGGAAACGGTCATCCAAAGGAGTTACCAAACATGACCTAATAGAAAAGTGGTCTTTTTTTGACGGACAGTTTATTCCATTTAATCAATGAGGCAAAAACTTCTTTTACGTATAAAGAATGCTTAGATCCCTAAATGGCAATTATTTGTCTAATTCTAAAACTTTATGGTTCACAATAATAATTTCTCCACAAAGTTGGTTGTAGTGTCATTGTAGATGACATTCTTGTTTATGGTTCAACTCGAGAAGAGCATGACATAAACCTAAGAAACTTACTTGATAGGTGCCGCCAAAAGGGCATTAGGTTAAACGAAGACAAACTTGTTGTTTGTGTCTCGGAGGTTAAGTATTTTGGTCACATCCTCTCAGCTGATGGATTGAAACCAGACCCCGAAAAATGTAGGGCTATCCAAGAGATGGAAGCGCCTAAAGACAAGTCTGAGCTTAAGACAATACTTGGCATGATAGCTTATCTATCTAGATATGCCCCAAACTTGTCCGAGATCATTCATCCACTCTTTGAAATATTGAAGAAAGATGTCATTTTTCACTGGGATGCTCCACAAGTTCAAGCATTTCAGAAAGTCAAAGACATACTTACTGAGTGTCCAGGCCCAGTGTTATCTTATTTTGATCCAAATAAGGCAGTAGTACTTCAGTCTGACAGTTCTCAGCATGGCTGTGCTTCTACTTTAATGCAAGATGGAAAACCTATAGCCTTTGCAAGCAAATCCTTGACCAACTCAGAAAGGTCATGGGCCATGATTGAGAAAGAACTTCTTGCCATAGTATTTGGCATGACAAAGTTCAGACAATATATTTACGGTAGGCACATAACTGTAGAAACAGATCATTTACCCTTGATCAGTTTTGTTAAGAAATCCCTATACAGTGCCCCGGCAAGATTACAAAGGCTCTTATTAGCGTTACATGGTTATGATTTTGAGTTGCAGCACAAGCAGGCACTCAAATACCCGTTGCTGACACATTGTCTCGGAAATATTTGCCAGATACTTATCCAGAAATTTCCGAAAATACCAATATGCATGTTCACTTCATAACAAAAAACTTGCCATACACAGATCAAAAACTTAGTGAAGTAAGGTCAAAAACTGAGTCAGATCCAACACTCATGACCTTGAAACAAATCATTCTTCAAGGCTGGCCTGAAAAACGCAAAGATTGCAATTCTCAAGTTCTAGAATACTGGAATTATAGAGATGAACTCACTGTTGTAGATAATATCATCTACAAAGGTCAAAGATTGATTATTCCTAAGTGTCTAAGATCTGAAATGTTAAATTTGCTACATAAAGGTCACCCAGGTCAGGAACGTAGCTTCCGCAGGGCACAAATGTTTATGTTTTGGCCTAACATTAGCAAAGACATAGTGCAGAAAGTGCAACAGTGTTCTGTATGTGCAGAGCATCAAAGGTCAAATTCAAAGGAACCCTTGGTTTCACATGAAATCCCTAAGTACCCATGGCAGGTAATAGGTACTGATGTATTTACATTAGATAACCAAGACTACTTGTTAGTATGCGACTACATGAGCAACTATTTTGAAGTTGACATGATTAAAAATACAAACAGTGGCACTATCATTAAGTTAATGAGAACATGGTTTTCAAAACATGGTATTCCCCAGAAAATAGTTTCAGATGGTGCTAGTTATTACACATCACAAGAATTTAAAGAATTCACAACTAAATGGGACATAAAGCATGTAAAGTCATCACCTCAATATCCCCAAAGTAATGGCCTTAGTGAATCATGCGTGAAGAAAGTAAAAACATTGCTTAAAAAATGCAAGCAAGATGGGACAGACCCTTTGATAGCAATTTTAGAATTACGTGCTACCCCGCTAAGCATAGGTTATTCTCCCACTGAAATCGTAATGGGAAGGAAAATAAGGACATTTATACCTATGTCTGAAAAGAACTTAACACCCAAAACAACAGATTTAAAGAGAATAAGGTCACTTCTTGAAAAACAAAAGTGCATTCAAAAGAAAAATTATGATAAACATTCAAGGCCCCTTAAACCATTTAACATAGGAGAAAATGTTAGAATTCAGCAGGGAAAATCTTGGAATCTCGCTGTCATTCAAGAAAAATTAGACAATCGCTCCTATTCCGTAGAAACACCTGATGGTGGTCAATATATCAGAAACAGGCAACATCTAATGAAGGATTATACCTGCCAAGATAATTACCCTCCATTAAACACTGATAACAATCAAATTACACAGGCCATTTGTAGTAATCAAGACACAGCAGATTCCCATGATAAACTTTCACACCAGTTAACCTCACAGCATGCCAGTGTCAAGAGTGATAATCTGACCTTAAATCACTCAAAGTCGCCTGCATCAACAAATACTCTCAAACTGCCAAACATTTATCCAGAAGCTTATGTAACTCGTTCTGGGAGGCAGGTTAAACCAAAGATAATTCAGTCGGTGTAAAATAAGTGTATATATAAACATTGAACAAATAGGCATAAATTGCAGTAGTGTTTATTGTGCTTTAAACAGAAAAAGTACAAAGTTTATATTGACAGTATGAAAGCATTTTCTAGGACAAATTTATCATAATAATTAAATGTGTTTACCTCAAATTCATTAATTGATGTCAGTCTTGACATGGACATTATTTTATTGCTTAATGCTTTCTCAGAATAAATTGACATTTATAGCGGACAAATGTTTATGAGCTTCTCAATTTCAAACAAAGGGAGATGTTATGATATCAAGATTAGATAACTCTTTACATGTTTAGTTGTATAGTTAATGGGATTACTTCCCTTTACTTGATATTCATTAATGCTATGTTATATATATGATCATGCCTCTCTGATACCTGAGTCATTCTCACTTGAGCTCTGGTCTTAACAACATGTATTAAATGGTTATAATAAATTGTAGAATAGTTTGAATCTTGTTATCATCCATACAACATAACAATAATGTAAAAATTTACAGTGGTTAAGGATTAGATGCTTCCAAAAATCTTTTATAAAGCACATTTTTTATACTTTCAGATTTAAACGGTTTGATTTTACATTACAGATACCCCTGCCCTTTTTATTTTACTATTAAAAACCGTTATTTATCTTGTAAAATGCAGTTTAATCAGCCATTGTAAACATGATGGAACTTGTTTTATAAATTCCTGAATTCCTCTCTACCAGTAACACTAGAAAATTGCCTTTAAAGTTTAGGTGCGACGAAAACCCAACAAACCGAGCATCTTATTGATGTTATAGGTTTGTTATTGAATGTAAAAAAAAACAATTATTTAGAAAATTCAAGTTCAATTTTATCACTTGAATATTTTCATTATAATAGTATAACTATTTGACAGTTCAATAGTTCCTGTGGTTAACAAATTGTACCTAGGACGTTATTTGGAAAAACATCAAACATTGTGGAATCTACAACACTTATTAGGCGTTCACAATGTTAACTTCAATTAAATTTGACATAATATCAAAATTCTCTTCAAGTTAACATTTTGTTGCAAAATAGATCTTTCAGACGATTAACCAATAATGTACAAATGACCCTATGATATTGAAATAATGGAATGTAATTGCCGATTTCCTTGCAAATAACCGACTCCTATTCCAACATAATTTCTGAATAAACGGCGGGAGACAAATGACCATCAATCCCAATGTAAAAGATGTATTGTAACGGAGAAATATTGCCTCGTCTGAGGATTGAACAAGGACCCCTTGATAACCATTTCGAAACTCTCTTCTCCAAATAGCCAATATTTCTATTCATTAAGTTTAGCATTAGCTTCTGGGTCTCCTGTGTTTTTTTTAATTACAGAAAATTAAAAATAAATTTTGAAATTTAAAACTATTAAAGTAAACGTTTTTAACAATAGAAATTACCTTCAAGTATTTGTAATCCAAAGTACAAAATTTGACTTGATAATACACGTTTTCCCGGACAAAACACTCAATAAGGAAACCTAAAGTATGACAGAGAATAACATGTTGTACACAACTTAAAAGATAAACCTTTTTGAAAGACGGATTCCGGTTTATCTCTTTTTTGTATTGACAGTGTTACGTACATACACTGAGTAACTTTAAAAACGCATATAAAAATACAAAAAGAAACAACTAAAAAGTAAACGAAAACAGCAAAGTTTACTAGATGTTTCCTGACACTAAAATGAGTGCAGTTATCAATCACAATAACGGCTGTTTAAACTTGTCACGTTAAAGTATTTTGCACGACATTAAACACAAACAAATCTGCTTCATGCAATATAAATGTGATTCAGAGATATCATTTCCATTAGCATATTAGAAAAATCAATGAAGCTCATAAACATTTAACTGGTCTGTCGAATGTTGACGAACATTAACTCTCCGAGGATTCTTGCAAACTTAGAACCCTAACGTCGTATGTCAGTACTATTGTTTTTAACAAACTATTGCCTTTCTTTCATGAACGAGACCACGTGACAAATAATGTGAGGGTTTGTCCTTAGAAAATATGTCAAACAATAGTGTCACAGTGGTTATATTAAAACACGACTTCTATTAGGTTGTCTGGTTTATATTACATTGACGTTTGACGGCTCATCGCCACTTTTGTACCAAAACAAACTACAATGAGTTTTCAAAAACCTTTTTTTCTGACGTGGATCACAAATTTCTGAATTATTGCATATGAATTATTATTTGTTGAGATAAAAACATTGCTAAATGATGTGAAATCATATAATGCTTGATTTGTTTAATTTGAGTTTGTTGCACTTTCGTTCTTAATAATTGGCTGTCAGTAATATTGAAAATGTTTAAGAAAATAAGATTAGAATTGTTTTCTTGCTTTATATTTATCACGTCTGTTTCATCATTTCAATATCGATGCGTTTTTAAAGTGCTTCAGTGTACAATTCTGACGATCAAATTATTGGATTTGAAAATGAAACTACTACTTTGAAATCTGATCAAATATTTACGCAGAACTTTAGTCTCCATGAATAAGAATTCATAATTTATATAGTATTGCATTTCTGCATCGAAGCACTATTTAGATTGTATGCCATAATTATCACAAAGTAAAATAATGTTATCTTAACAAAAGGCCCATCATGCACAAAAGAAATGATTTAATATTACACAAAAGGTTTTGTCGTTGATGCCCTGTTTCCAAAAATAAACCAAATTAGCTAATACCTGAGCCAACACTTTGTTCTGTTGCCTTTTTACAAACTGTACAGTTACTTAGTATTCTATATGGAAGTCAGTGTACATTTTGCCTTTTTTATTTATGACAAATAATTTCAGATTTACGGTAAATTTATGACAAATAATTTCAGATTTACTGTAAATTCGTGAGATGACAAGTATCTTAACCGCTCTTAAATCATTATTAAACATTGTTAAAACCAAATTTGCCATTATTTCAAAATTAGAAAAAAATATTTCCCATTAAAAATGTTAATACGCATATAATTTACATATTTTTCTATTTTTTATTTTTTTTTTATTGTTTATTTATATTTTTAATAATCAAATAATAATGGTGAGGAACACAAGTACAACACCAGGTCAAGTTTCAAGATTTCATTTGCTACTAGTTTCGAGTAATACAATACTCTTTATCAGGCATAAATATATATGAAATTGTAACTACTTTATTTTTTTAATTGTTTATATCACAATTTTTGTTCATGTCACGATTTCCTTCTTTGTCATATTAAATGGGAGAATTTATTTTCTCCCAGTTTAAATATACGCTATATAACTTATCGGTCCTAATCGTTATGTGAATAATACATAAAAGTGCGAATACACATCATCTAACGTGAACTTTAATGGCAAGTGAAAATGGTTTGATGTTTATCTTCAATGGCATTGAATTTTAAATTTATGACATCATCATCTGTATAACCAATATCTCACGATAAAATATTGAGATAAACAACTTGAAGTCAAACACGTGATGAAATTAGAGTCTATAGTTTTTGTTATTCAAATAAAAAGTGTTTTCAAAGCCCTTGAAAAGATGCAAATGAAAGGATATTGATTTTGAACTTGGCTTTTCATAGAAAAGATGTTTTAATATTGGAATACAAACTGAAAGTATAGACCGACCTTTATAGATTTCACCTTGAATATCTCGTTACAATTGAGTTTGAAAATTCAGAAAATTTAATCTAAAATTTGCATATTATATTTTACATGAGAGATAGTGCAAAATCATCCACTAGATTTATCATCAAAAGAAAATACTAGTCCTTTTAGTCTGCAAAATTCTTATGTGCATCAAAATTTGTGTTTTATGGTACACTTGATCAATTGGCTTTTAAACATGGATAAAAAAAATGAAGCGCAATATAAGCTCAGATGTCAGGTTCACAAATTAAAACAATCATATATGTTTACTCTTATTGACATCAATGGATTAAATTTGTGTTTGGTTGGTCTAAATATTTTGATCTTATATAACTGTAACGTGTGCAACACAAACCAAGATGATATTCTGACTATACTTTTGGTTACATAATTTGCATAGTCTATTTTTCCTTTCAATGTTATAATATCTTTCTATTTCTAAAACCCTTTCATTTTAGACCGGATTCAAGTTGTCACCCTTTGATGACGCCATTTGGACACTAAGAACATTATTAAAGAGATATGAAAATCTAAATCATTCCTCTTATAGGATGGGCAGATTGAAATTGCCGAACTTTTGTATTATTTAATAAGATATTACATAAAAGGATGTAGGGGGCGTCCGTGGCTGAGTTGTTAAGGTCGTTGACTTCAAACCACTTGTCCCTCACCGCTGTGGGTTCGATTCCCGACAGGGACTAAGGATTCTTTCATGTGAGGAAGCTATCTTGACGTGGCTGAGTTGTTAAGGTCGTTGAATTCAACCACTTGTCCCTCACCAATGTGGGTTCGATTCCTGACAAGGACTAAGGATTCTTTCATGTGAGGAAGCTATCTTGCTAGCTTATGGAACGTCGGTGGTTCTATTCTGGTGCTTGAAATAATGCACGGAAGGGCACCTGAGGTCTTCCTCCACCAGTAAAGCTGGAAAGTCGTCATATGACCTAAACTGTGTCGGTGTGACGTAAAACCCAATAAAAACAAAAAGTAACATAAAAGGATGTTCCAATTAATAAAAGAGTCTACCACAATAAGTTTATAATGATATTTTCAATACTTAAACATATATGGGTAACTGTTCGTGGTTACCATTTTCGTTAAAATCTAACCTGGGACCAAAATAAAATGTCCATGATCTAAATAATGGAAACTATCACACTGTTTACCACACAGTTTAGTCGTATTTACTTGCTAATTTGCACGTACCCGATGTCTACTTATTATGCGTAGTTCCTAGGTTAGATGTTAATGCATTAATACAACAATGCTTTGGAATGTATACTTAATTTATTTGTGTCGGCAAAAGAGGCACTGTCATGAAAT